AATCTACATTGAGACATTTTTAGTGCACAAGATATTGGTTTCAGTACAAAAAGTTATGTTAAAATAAAAGAATCTCTCACACAAAAAGATTACATTTTATTTTAAATGACAAAAGCATTTCAATTAAGATATACATTATTAAATGCAAAAAGTCTGGCGATGCTTAATGGGTACATGTTTGTACCCTTTGAGCACACTCCTGTTCCCATTAAGCTCACATCATGTTTTATTAAAAATTCTTGTTTATTTTAAACAACCTTTTTAAAGAATAATTGAAAAATATATATTTTTGAAGGTACAAAGTCAATCACAAAAAAACAACACAAAAATCAAGCAACAGGGCATTCAGTTTGATCAGTTATATATTCATAGTGAAGTGTCATTTAAGCACATTGCAACATCTAGACTAGTCCATGTTCAGCTAAGTAACACAAATTCAAAAATCAAATAAAACAAACCAATAAAACATTTCATTCACGGGGATGAACACAGAAACTAGCCTCTTATTAAAGGGATGTCAACTTATCTGTAGTCTCTTAAGGCTGGAATACACTACACGATTTTTGCCCCGATTTCCACTGATTTACAGTATGGAGAAGTTCACAGTAGTTGCCAAAGAGCTAGTCTGTAGATTTGAGTTGACAGATTCCATGGAAAATCAATTAACTTAACTTAAAATGACAACCATCAGTTAATATTTAAAGTCTGTTTATGAAGTATTTACATAGACGCTCAATGTGGAAGAGCTTAAAGAGAGCATACTGAGCTTAATGGGAGCAGAAACTATTTTTTATAAATTTCATGTAATATTTATTAAAATGACAAGATTTTGCAAAATAAATAATCTAGGTCATGTACTAAGTTCATACATATTTTATTATGAACAACTACTATTAACTATATCTATGAAATTATTAAAGGGATGTCAACTTATCTATAGTCTCTTAAGGCTGGAATACACTACACGGTTTTTGCCCCGATTTTCCACTGATTTACAGTATGGAGAAGTTCACAGTAGTTGCCAAAGAGCTAGTCTATAGATTTGAGTTGACAGATTCCATAGAAAATCAATTAACTTGGTAATTAAGATGCAAAATAAATAATCTAATTCATGTACTAAGTTCATACATATTTTCTTATGAACAACTACTATTAACAATATCTATGAAATTATACTTTTTCTTATTGATGTCACACTGAAGCTGTGTGATTTTCATAGTAGTGCAACCTTTAAGCTCACCTTAAAATAAAATGAAATCTTTAAAAAATACAGCAGTATGAAACCACAAACCAGCAATAAACTGTCAATTTATAATATTATGGATGTAAAAGTACAAGCCAGTAATGCCTGTGAAGTAATTTATTAGTGTAGCACACAATCTTATACAGCTAGTCAGCTAACTGTGTTCTGTAGCATCTGCACTGTGTTGTTAAAACTATCTTTTGGATCTAACTGTAATTATTACCCACATCCAAGTTCCAGGTTATAATCTGCAAAAGTCTAAACATTAATCTCTTAATTTTACAAAAAGTAGTGAAACTTACCCAAAATAAAGGCTTAAATATACTGTATATAACAAATGCACATTTAAGGGGCTCATCTTTTGGTGGAAGTTTTCAGACAGCTTTCAAAATGGCTGCCAGACAGTGTGAACACATGGAGACGCATATCTCAGTGTGCAATGATTGACTTGAAATTACAGGAGGTATGTAGTAACAAACACATCAATTTGTTAAGACATCAAGTATGATAATACATTATTTTTTTCTTTTTATAATCTGAGTTCAAATATGGAAGTGTGCTTAATGTGTACGTGAGCTTAATGGGTACGTTTACCCTACTAATAAACCGCCATTATGCTAGTAATATGTATGCTAATAAGCAACTGGTTAGTAGTGAATAGTGTTCTCTAATCTAAAGTGTTACCCTTTAAAAACAAATTATTTATTATACCATTTATTATAATGGTTTAATAACACTTTGTTATATTACCCTTGCATTAAATTTAAGAAAGTAGTGAACACTGCTGCGAGGGTGTTTCTAATACAGGTACTGAGGTAGTGATAGTAAATTTGACATCTGTCTGTCTTCTGACTGCCATAATCCATCTCTCTATGTTTTGTATTTTTTGCAACCAACAAGTTTGTTAGTGTATTTTTTTTCTTTCACCGTTGGGAGTAAATGGTATTGCAAATAATATATTTCCTTTAGTCTCCCACATACCTCTATAGACGTTTGCCCGGCTATAGTTTTCTGAATGTCAAAATGTTTGTTTTTGCACAGAAGCCAGTGGAATCAAGTTGTTATTTGATGTGTATACATGAACACAATCCATACTGTAGCTGATGTACACAATGATGTAGGTCTTTAAAAGGAAATTAGAAATTATTAATCTTTTATCCAGTTGCATACTCAGTATGGACATACTTTACAACTGTAAAGTTCCCTTTTACAGTTGTCCACTAGATGGTCGTTTTTTTTTTTTTTTTGTGAAATGTGATTTAGAATGCCCAGAATGTGTAATGTCCTGTAGGCAGTGGTGGACGGTAACAAAGTAGTTTTACTTCGTTACTGTACTTAAGTACATTTTCAAGTATCTGTACTTTACTGGAGTAGTTTTATTTTGAGTAACTTTTACTTCACTACATTTCAATGCATAAGATCGTACTTTTTACTTCACAGCATTTCATAAAACTTTGTTACTCCTATAATATATCACATGCTCCGAGATGCAGAAGTGGTGTCTGATTCATGAATGAACTGATTATTTTCAATGAACCTGTTAAATCGGTTCGCAAATTGCACCAAACGATTCATTCATGAATTGGAATGATCCGATTGCAGCTCAATGCATAAGATCGTACTTTTTACTTCACAGCATTTCATAAAACTTTGTTACTCCTATAATATATCACATGCTCCGAGATGCAGAAGTGGTGTCTGATTCATGAATGAACTGATTATTTTCAATGAACCTGTTAAATCGGTTCGCAAATTGCACCAAACGATTCATTCATGAATTGGAATGATCCGATTGCAGCTGTTCTCGAGTCGACAACTCACTGATTCAAATGAACCGGTTTAGTGCGAGTCTCCAGTGAACTGAATTCACAAGTAAGAACCGGGAGATCTTGGGAGCGTGTGCGCGTCTAATGCTGCTAAAAGTAAGTTACTAATGTAGAATTTTAGGATTAATTATTGTAACTGAAAATCATATTTAGGTCAAAGCTGTCAGTTGTTTGTGAACTAAATCTGCTGTAAAGGATGATCTGTTTAAGCCCACTGAAATGCTTGAATGCAGACACATTAACATCAGAATCTCTATGTTTTAGGTCAAAAAACATTAAAATAACACAGATTAAATAAAATAACTCATGCGTGTTCATCTTCCCCGCTGCTATAACGTTAGCAGTTTTACTAAAATGCTATGCATTTAGCCCTATGTGACGTCTGTTTTTATATTGTTTGTCAGCACACATAGCCTAAGTTACTATGTATTGGGGATCAACTAGCCGAGTAGACAAATATAAATGTTTATTCATAACCATGCTGAAAATAAGTCAATAATGTTAGCTGATGCTAACTGTCTAGCTAACGAGCTTGCTGGTGCTAAATTTAGGTAATTAAAAAAAAATAATTAAATAAAATCTAATTATATTTTCCTTATTATATTAATTATTTCCTTATTGGTTATTTTGGGAAAGTCCCAGGTATTTTGAGCAGCACCATTATAAAAAAAAAAAAAAATGCTAATATAAGATTAAATGATAAAACTAGCCTATATAAAACTGCAAAATAAACATTCATCTATTGGTAAAAGTACTTTTGTACTTTCACTCGAGTAAAATTGAAAACTGAGTACTTTTACTGGAGTAATATTTTATTATACGGATCTGTATTTTTACTCAAGTACTTGATTTGTGTACTTCGTCCACCACTGCCTGTAGGTGAGTCACACATTAGAAACAGTAAGTCATTCAGATTTACTAGATTAAGAGAATTGAGAAACAAATGCTTATATAATATCTATACTTTTATTTTTTTCAGATCTCAATTTTAAGTTATTATTGCAGCTTTATTTGTTTATAATAACTTGCTATGAATCAAATATATCATGTTTTCACAGGTCACTCATTTTTGCCTGCCTCAGCTTCTGCCCCTGCTGAAGCACACGATGTCCTACCTGCATGAGATTTTTGAGTTCTATGAGGAGATCCTCACCTGTCGCTACCCTTATTCTTGCTTCAAGACTGTCTTTGTGGATGAGGCTTATGTGCAGGTCTCATCGTATGCATCCATGAGTATTTTCAGGTATACAAGCTGTTCTTGAAAGTAAAAATATTTTTTTCCAATATAAAAGTCTTTGTAACACTATTTTAAGATGTCCTTGTTACAGATGTCACATATACTTACTATTATAATAACCATTAATTATGCATAATTACATGCAATTAACCCTAAGCCGGACCCTTACCATATGCTACATGTAGTTAATAACTATTATTCAGTGCTTAAATGTATAATTACACTGTATCAAGGACACCTTAAAATAAAGTGTAAACTGAGTCTTTACTTCTGACTCCTAAAAACAGAACTCTCTTGTCACCAACTAATGGCAGAACAATGTAACTAATATCACCAGCACGAACACACACACCGTTTCTCAATACTAGGGCTGGCTTGATACCACTTTTTCAGAACCTATCCAATACCAAAAATTCTGAGTATCGGCCGATACCGATATTGATCCGATACCAGTGCAGTGTTTTTAATCAGTTTAGAATTTCTATGCCTCAATGTGGGTCACTCTTTTGTGTGTTACACACAATACTAAATATAGACAACTTTCTTACAAAGAAAAAATAACAAACGGAAGAAATATACCGTATTGGCCCGAATTTACAATTACAATCAACCAAAAATTTGACAGCTGTTAGTATTTACACAACTATCAATACTTAGTCAGGCAACCCTTAGCCTTAATGACAGCCTGTGTCTCCTGGGCATGCTATCATCCAGCTTCATGCAAACCTCAACTTCAATGTTTTTTCCCAGACTCGGTCTGAATAATTTTTGGTCCCAAATTTGTATAAATTTTACTGGTAGTCCACTGTAGTGTTGTCAAAAGACCCGGCATTTCGGTACCAAGTCGGTTCTAAAAAAATTAAAACGTTACGGTACCAGGTTTTTTTTTTTTAAGTACCGGTGGTACCGAGTACCCGGTCAACCCACTTCTTGATGCGCTATCCGAAAGCTATCCTCTTCCAGTTTTGCCAAGTCCGTGGTTTTCCCGCGGAATTGGGCTGCTTTAACACTGTTGCCGCGGGTTGTTTTTCATGTCCGCGGGTTGAAAAACGACCCCATTAACGTGATATTTAGCCCATGGAATGCGAATTTTACCAGGAGAACCCAGCCAAAACATGCGTATTTTATCCTCGGAACACGATCTTTAACGGGGGACCCCCTCGAAACACGATTGGGCGGGTTTTGTTGTGAAAACCTGGCAACCTCTTCTTAAAAGCAGTGGCGACCTCAAGAGGAGGAAACTCATCAAACTAACAAAACACCCCAATCAAGTTCAAGCAGGTAAGTTTCAATTACATTTTTAATATTTAGAGCTTCTGTTATGAATATTATTCCATATTTTAATTTTAATTTCGGATTGAAATAAACATTGCCGTTAGCATATACGTAGGTAATCGTTAGCATAAGCGCGGCTACCGCTAATATAATGAGCATTAAAATTAATTTTGTTCAAAATGATTTCTTTAACTATTTGATGCTCCTATAACTTTTATTACTGTAAAAAACAGGAGGACATAATGGTATTTACTATTTTTACACACCAGAGGCTTTTAAATGAACTGTGCAACCAAAATATGTGTGTTAGAGAATGTACAAATGTATGGTTAACAGTGTTTGTCATATAGTGTTTGTCATATCAGTCCGTCAGAAAAAAAATGTTTTCTTTCTTTTTTTTAGTTAGTTAGTTGTAATTCTTGGACGAATATCTCTAGCAGGTTTTAAAAGCCCTTTAAAATTAAATTCAACACAGTTTGGATTAAATAAAAGTGCAGTCAAATTGTATCTCCTGTATAGACTTTACTGTACAATGTTAGATCTAGTAACATCTTACAGTGAGTGAACAATATATTTTTAAAACATTCATTGTTTGTGTATGTTATTTAATACAAACACTTGATCATTCATGTTTGTTCATTGTGCATTAAATAATTTTAACAGATTGAACGGGAGGAGCACGTCAGATACTTAGCCTAATTAACATAAGAGGATAAATACAGCAGACTTACCTCTATCCATCAACGGTTTATCAGCATCTCTCCACCGCCCCATCTCCTCACTTCGAGTTCTAACTACACTTAAATGGGGGGTTAAACTACACTTAAAGTACTCTGGGTTTGGGCCATTTCCAAGCTTGGAGCCCTTCACGCCAAATGCGCATTACTATACTTCAGCTAATTATATGTAAGTGTGAACTCGTGAAATGGAGGATGACAGACAGCCGCAGAGGAGAGAAGAGTTTACATCAACTTGACTTAAATATTCATCTGTACTTCACATTAAACTGTGGAATGGCTTTAGAACACTTGGAATGTAGTGCACAAAAACTTTATGGTGGCTTTTGTGGGGCTTAACAATAACACAGAATAGTATACGCAGAATCTCAGATTTGGATCGGTCTCTTCTGACCGATACCCCAATCCGGCAGAAAATGCCAGTATCGGAGCGATACCGATACTGAATATCGGATCGGCGCAACCCTACTCAATACTAAACACTATTGTTAAATACTACTATTATTTATATAAAATATTATTTATTGAATAATAATATTTAATAAACAACAACAGGCATCATAAAAAGCAATTCAGTCAAAAGTACAAGGCAACGCTCTGATATACAGCATTGTATTTACATTTATAAACATGAGATTTTGCCCAAACTCTTTGCTCTGGAACAAATAATATATTAATGAGACCAAAGACTGCCTGTTAGATTTACTCAAAACAAATTATATCTCATGTTTAACCAAGGGATGCAACGATGCCATTTTTTCAGAACCGATCCAATACAGAAAATTCTGACAATCAGTTTTTTTTTTTTTTTACTCAATGTAAAATTTCTATACTTCTGTGTTGACCTTATCACTCTTTTGTGTATTAATATACTATAAAATTTAAAAACATTTATTTTAAATGTATAGCACAGTAATAAAGGCAGCAAGATATGATAGAACAGAACAAGAAAGACTATTAATAATCTTTCATTGCGCAAAAGCATTATAATACGAAAGGCTCAATACAGAGCAGCACAAAGAGCTTATGTGCAACCCGTGCGCAGAATGATGCACTTGAAGAAACACGGAGTCAGGAAAGAGATATTGATGCATAGGGTATTAAATCTGTGTGATAGTTTATTGAGCCTTTTCTTTTAACAGTTTTAAATTTCATTAAATTTCACTCTTGAAGAGAGATTCATCATTTTGACTAGTAACCGAACGCGACTAGCAGATTGAATGGAGGATGACAGACAGCAGCAGCGAAGAGTTTACGTGAAATTGAATTTATTGACTTAAATTCACCTGTACCTCACATTAAACTATGGAACGGCTTCAGAACACTTGAAATATAGTGCACGGAAACCTTATGGTGCTTTATAATATTGTTGTGCCTTTCGTGGAGCTTAACAATAACACAATAGTATATGCTAGGGCAGTGCAAAAAATCAAATGCTATTTTCATGCTCATCTCGTCAGTAAAGCCGGTTCTGTGATTAGTAGTAAATCTCCAGCACGTGCTTTCAGATGGAGCAGCATTTACTACACAGATCACTGACAAACTGACAAGCTACGCAAAATCGCGTTCATAATCGGCAGTGCATCGCCTGTGATTTTGAACACGATTTTGCGTAGCTTGTCAGCTTGTCATCGCTGATGACGTCATTAATGAACAAATAAGTCTGGAGCTGTGACAAACACCTTGTGCACAGCTATGGCATATGACACAACGCTGCCCACATTTTATTATTGTGGGCTATTGCTCCTATAACAGCCCATTTTTATCAGTTCTTTTGTCTTTGGGTCGTTATATTTCTCACAGATTTCTGCTCGTTCTAAATCAGATACAGATAAAGTAGCACAGTAAAGATTACAATACTTAAAAGAGGTCATGTTGCCTTATGTCGAAGAAAAAATGCCCTTGAAATGGGTGTTTCAACAAGTAAAAAAAAAAACGAACACACCAGAAAGTGAGCAGCATCTTGGTTCCAGACCAACAAGATTAACGTTATGGAGTGGCTAGCCCAATCTCCAGACCTTAATCCAATAGAAAACTTGTGGGGTGACATCAAAAATGCTGTTTCTGAGGCAAAACCAAGAAATGCAGATGAATTGTGGTCTGTAGTGCAATCGTCCTGGGCTGGAATACCTGTTTACAGGATTTAATATATTTTTCTTCAAGTTTTGATTTAGAATAGAATGTGCAGTGTTCCCAATGCATTTGTGTGTATTGAAATAAGTTATTACAAGGATTTTGAACTTTACTCACTTTTTAAACACACTGCTATTATTTTGAACACAACTGTATATATACAGAATTTTATCATGATCTTGTGTTTGTGGTGTTCTTCTCAGTACCAACCTCCTGCACAGTGGCATGATCATAGATCAGACTCCTGTGACCAGGCACTGTCTGGCTCAAGCTCTGGCCCAGCAGTTTTTTGGATGCTTCATCTCTAGGATGTCCTGGTAAGTAGGAATGGTAAAGCCTAATAGTGTAATGTTTGTTGCCAGCCACAAAACTGCGTATTGCAGCATTTTTGTTATATGCAATATAATACTTTTCATACATAAATGGCAGGTACTTTAGGTTTGCAAGAAATCCAGTATTTATTTGTTGAACTAGTAATGCCTAGAGCAGAGGTCCGTTCTACGTACGGCGCTAACTCGGTTAGCTGGATTTAATTGTTGACTATTTTGCTTGATCTTGAATTGGCTGGTTCTTCGAAAGCTCATCCCGGGGTTGCTGTCATAGCAACAGGTCCGTAAGCTTAAACCTGCTCGGGAGCAGGCTTATTTCATGTAAACAGGATTAGATTGCACCTTTTTCAGCAGAATTTATGCTTAAAATTTGTCCTAGCCACTGCTGCTTTATTAGAAGAGTACCCTACTGATCCAGGGACAGTAATTTAAACTAATAATAATTTTAAAATATATAAAATATAATACTACAGACACAGCCAGTTTTTCTCATTGAAATATTTATTCATGATAAAATAATTTATAATTGTATTGGAGTCTACACACATGCTGTACAGTTAATCTGAGCCGTGCATTCATTTGAGTGGTGACGGCTATTATTGGAGTGGCTTGATGGAGCGCAGGAGATGCAGATAACTTGATCTTGACCCTTAAGAAAGAGGCATTGCCGCCGCCTCCTCTCACTTGATTTTTTTCCCCCATTCATCTCAATGAGCCTCCAGAAAAGTCACGGCACGCTTAGGGATCTCTGTAGAATGTCAATGGACTGAAGGGAGGCAAGCCTCCGCTGTAACTTTACCTGCGTGTGTTGCTGTTGGACAGTGTTACTTTATAAAAATGAGTGACTTTTAATATCATATTTGCGCTGTTTTATTTTTGTAATCTCGATTATTTTCTCAAAAGAGGAGACACTGCCTCCCTTGCCTCCTTGGAGGAAATGCCCCTGATATATATATATGTATATATGTGTATATAATATATAACTGTAGATTTTGTATTTTGAATTGCAGGGCTGATGAGTGGGTTTTGAAGGGAATTTCTGGATACATTTATGGCCTCTACCTGAAGAAAACCTTTGGAGTCAATGAGTATCGTCACTGGATTAAGGAGGTATAGAGTAAAGTGATCGACAAAAGAGAGCCAATGCTTCTGTCAAACGGCCATGTGCATATGTTTATATGCTCAAACATCAGCTTTTTAAATGCTGAACTGTTTGTCTCTTATTCTTTTAACCAACAGGAACTGGACACGATTGTGGATTATGAGCTAAAGATAGGTGGAGTCCTGCTACATCCCACCTTCTCTGGCGGGAAAGAAAAAGACAAGTAATCCTCACCTCTATGACTGCTTATAATTTATACACGCTTATCCAAACTTGTACAAAAGATGATGTTTTGTAGGAAGATAATGTCTGTTTTCCTTTCAGTCCTACACCCCACCTGCACTTTTCCATCATTTTTAACCAACAGGAACTGGACACGATTGTGGATTATGAGCTAAAGATAGGTGGAGTCCTGCTACATCCCACCTTCTCTGGCGGGAAAGAAAAAGACAAGTAATCCTCACCTCTATGACTGCTTATTTATACACGCTTATCCAAACTTGTACAAAAGATGATGTTTTGTAGGAAGATAATGTCTGTTTTCCTTTCAGTCCTACACCCCACCTGCACTTTTCCATCAGACACCCCCACACATTGTCCTGGGAATATTACAAGATGTTCCAATGCAAAGCCCACCTGGTCATGAGGCTCATTGAAAACAGAATTAGCATGGAGTTCATGTTGCAGGTATATGAACTACAACATCCCTCATTTAAGAAAGGGAAGTGATATATTTCATGGGTTTTTGAGGTGATATGTGTACTGGTGCAGGTTCCTCTCAAAACCTCATTTATGGACCACCCACATTGGCACACACATTTTTATTATCCTTGTAGCTAATTATAAACTGATCAGATACTGTAATCTCAGCCTGAGTTCAATCAAATCTCTCATCAGGTGTTTAACAAGCTCTTGAGTCTGGCCAGCACAGCATCATCCCAGAAATATCAGTCTCACATGTGGAGCCAGATGCTGGTGTCCACCTCTGGATTCCTCAAATCCATTTCCAATGTGTCCGGGAAGGACATCGGACCCCTCATCAAACAATGGGTGTATCCTTGCACTGTGGAATACAGTCATTTACATTTAGTCATTTTGCAGACGCTTTTATCCAAAGCGATT